CTTCTTTCTCTAATAATTTAATGAAACGTCACAGCGTCGCGCAGGAGGGGAGGGGGGGGGCTGAATTCAGACAAGGATTAAAAATCGAGAACGGTACAACGAATCATCTTCTTTCTCTCATAATCTTATGAAACGCCAAAGCTTCCGCGCTTCGCGCGGGAGGGGGGAACCTGAATTCAGACGAGGATTCAGAGGCGAGAATGGTAATACGAATCTTAAATGGCTTAATGAAACGTAAAAGCTTCCGCGTTTCGCGCGGGATGGAGGGGGAACTAAATTCCGATGAGGATTATTTTCGAGAACGGTACAACGAGTCGTCTTCTTTCTCTAATGATTTAATGAAAATTATAAGCTTCCGCGCTTCGCTCGAGAAGGGGGGAACCTGAATCTAGACGAGGATTAAGAGTCGAGAACTGAACAATGAATCGTCTTCTTTCTTTAATAGTTTAATGAAGCGTCAAAGCTTCCGCGCTTCGCGCAAGAGGGGAGGGGGAGACTGAATTAAGACAAGGATTAAGAGTCGAGAACGGTACAACGAATCGTCTTCTTTCTCTAATGATTTAATGAATCGTAAAAGCTTCCACGCTTCGCGCAGAAGGGGGAAAACTGAATTCAGACGAGGATTAAGAGTCGAGAACTGTACAACGAATCGTCTTGTTTTTCTAATGATTTAATGAAACTTAAAAGCTTCCGCGCTTCGCGCGGGAGGAGGGGGGGAGGGAGAATCTAAATTCAGATGAGGATTATTTTCGAAAACGGTACAACGAATCGTCTTCTTTCTCTAATGATTTAAGGAAATTTAAAAGCTTCCGCGCTTCGCGCGGGAGGGGGGGGGGAGGGGAAACCCAAATTCAGACGAGGATTAAGAGGCGAGAACGGTAATACGAATCTTTAATGGCTAAATGAAACGTAAAAGCTTCCGCGCTTCGCGCGGGATGGAGGGGGAACTAAATTCCGATGAGAATTATTTTCGAGAACGGTACAACGAATCGTCTTCTTTCTCTAATGATTTAAGGAATGTTAAAAGCTTCCGCGCTTCGCGCGGGAAGGGGGGGGGACCTAAATTTAGACGAGGATTAAGAGGCGAGAACGGTAATACGAATCTTTAATGGCTTAATGAAACGTAAAAGCTTCCGCGCTTCGCGCAAGAGGGGGAGGGGGGAGACTGAATTAAGACAAGGATTAAGAGTCGAGAACGGTACAACGAATCGTCTTCTTTCTCTAATGATTTAATGAATCGTAAAAGCTTCCACGCTTCGCGCAGAAGGGGGAAAAACTGAATTCAGACGAGGATTAAGAGTCGAGAACTGTACAACGAATCGTCTTGTTTTTCTAATGATTTAATGAAACTTAAAAGCTTCCGCGCTTCGCGCGGGAGGAGGGGGGGAGGGAGAATCTAAATTCAGATGAGGATTATTTTCGAAAACGGTACAACGAATCGTCTTCTTTCTCTAATGATTTAAGGAAATTTAAAAGCTTCCGCGCTTCGCGCGGGAGGGGGGGGGGGGAGGGGAAACCCAAATTCAGACGAGGATTAAGAGGCGAGAACGGTAATACGAATCTTTAATGGCTAAATGAAACGTAAAAGCTTCCGCGCTTCGCGCGGGATGGAGGGGGAACTAAATTCCGATGAGAATTATTTTCGAGAACGGTACAACGAATCGTCTTCTTTCTCTAATGATTTAAGGAATGTTAAAAGCTTCCGCGCTTCGCGCGGGAAGGGGGGGGGACCTAAATTTAGACGAGGATTAAGAGGCGAGAACGGTAATACGAATCTTTAATGGCTTAATGAAACGTAAAAGCTTCCGCGCTTCGCGCAAGAGGGGGAGGGGGGAGACTGAATTTAGACAACGATTAAGAGTCGAGAACGGTACAACGAATCGTCTTCTTTCTCTAATAGTTTAATAAATCGTAAATTTTTTCCGCGCTCGCGCGCGGTAGGGGGAAAAATTAAATTCAGACGAGAATTATTTTCGAGAATGGTACAACGAATCGTCTTCTTTCTCTAATAATTTAATAAAACGTCAAAGCTTCCGCGTTTCGCGGAGGAGGGAGGGGGGGAAATCGCCCCTCCCTGCACCGACCCCCCCCCCCGCATTACGTCACTGTTGGTCACTATTACGTACCAATATTTGGCTCGCATAATTTCAAATTTGGGCCCCCCCCCCTAAGAAATCCTGGATCCGCGCCTGGGGTAGACTGATTATAATTGTCGTTTGTGGCACCCGTGGTTGTATTCTCTAAAAGGAATCAATGTTTTTCTTTTCAATATTCTTTGTATTCATCATACTTCGAATTATCTTGTTTTATCTTCTTACTTTCATAGATTTCATTACAGTATCGATTTCATTTTCGTTTACCATTTCTGATGGTGATATTTGTAATGATTCAAGTACCAGCAGCAAGACGGGGACATTGTAATAAAATATTTCTTGTCTTCCTGTTCTAACTAAACAAATAGACAAATAAAAAGGTGCTTTCTTCGGTCCAATTTTTTTTTCTCGACCTACCCTGTGACCACAATTCGCCCGGCCTTTAAGCCAAATACCAACCGACCGACAGGGAAACTCTCTTATTTTTCTATTATGAAACGCAGAAAGTGTCTCAGTCCATATATATCGAACAGAAATAACCAAAAGTATAATTCTCTAAGGAATATATTCATCATTAAAATTCACTGCCATTATAAGTGAACTTTACTTCATTTGAAACGGAAAGAATTGGGTATCATATTTGTCACTTAACGCATTTTTTTTCTACAAATACAATACAGTGACAGTTATTGTTTTTGAGTGAAAATTATACTTGTATAACGGAAAATGTATACTGTGGATTGCACAATTAAAAGTAAAATGTCCAATAAATTTATAGGGTAAAAGGTTTTTAAAACGTGAAAAGATAAAAACTGCAATCTGTAATCTATTTATTTCGTATAATTTCAAAATTTGGAATTTTTAGAATAAAAGATCAGTATGGGATAGTGGTGATAAATTATAGTTACGATATGTAAAGCCCATTTCTGTAAGACTATGATTCTATTTCCTAAATATAATGCACAATTGCCCCAGACGATATCGCAGTATGTACTATGAGATAAAATCAATGTGTTGTATAATGTTAATAAAATTCTTTGGGGAATTTTTTCTTTGATGATGATGATGATGAATAGCATTTGTATGGCGACATATTTCTGTTTCAAAAAACATTCAAAGGCGCGAGCTCCTCCAATAAAATTAGCATTTAAATGTCTGAAGGAAGTTGTGAGTTTTGAGTGAAGCTTTGAAGTGGTCCAGGTTGTCAATTTCGCGAATAGATGATGGGAGGGAATTCCACAGGCGAGGAGCAATAGAGGAAAATGCCCGGTCTCCTATATCCCTTGATATGAGTAATGGGCACCTGGAGAGTAAGGCCAGATGAACGAAGTCCAGGACGAAGATGACGCCGCTAGATTAAAGATGACACATATCCTGGGGGACACATATCCTTTTACTAGGTCCCTTGGTGTTCCAAATGTTTGTGAATAGAGAAAGCGAAGAGCACTCACAATTAGAGTTCATGATATCTGAACTATATAAACTCAAGCCGAACATAGTGTACAAGTGTTTTCTTTTTGAAGTAATAGCAAGACCAGTTTGTGAACAATTATTTCCTAGCACCTTTGATATTCAAGAGAACGACTGGTCACAAATCTATATTCTACCTTTCAAGTGCACAATTGAAGTAAAAATGAGAGTTCAAACTGTCACATAACATACTTTATATTAATAACAGATTTTATAAGACGTATTGTGTTGAGTCAGAGATGTGTACCTTTTGTAATTCAACTTTAGAAACACCTGTTCATATATTTTATGACTGTGATGTTGCTTCTAAGCTCAGACAGGAATTTGCTGATAATAATTGGCACGAAATTTAAAGTTAAGTCTGAAGATCTCAGTAAGAAAAGAATGATGTTTGGATTCATCAAAGATTGGAAATGCCCCAATATGAAGTTATTAAATCACTTGTTGCTAATGTTTAAAAGATATATTTCTATCAAAAAAATGAAAAAAAACGCAAAACCATGTTTAAGTCGGCTAACGTCTTTTATCAGTAACACGTAAAACATAGAACTTAACATTGCAAAATAGAAGAAGATTTAAGGAATGCATTATACGAAACCACTATTTCTGTATTGTTTGACTTTTTCATCTTTTTTAACCTTTAGTAATTATTATGCAGTGATTTGCATGATTATTGTTATCATGATGAATTACTTGATAAATAAAAGTTTTAAAAGATAAACAAACAAACAAATATTTCATTTAGTCAATTCAATACTCCGATAGTCCTTGATATCTGTTGACAAATGTCATTCACATGTTCTTTCCAGATTAAGTTGACATCAATATGAACTCCAAGAAATTTTGAAGAGTTTACTCGTTGTATTTCACAGTTACCAACCAAAGCATTTAAGGAATTCTCACAAATTTTCCTGTCTTTGGGTTTGAACAGCATTATATATACCATACCACATGTTTCCAAGTGTCTTCATTGAAAACATAGGGTATGGAAACAAACTAGATATCGCACTTCACCTTCTTTGTCAAAAGGAAAGTTTGCAGGAATATATAAAGCTGTCATTAATTACAGGAATGACAAACAAAATTGGCCGTTAACAAGAAGTATAGACAAGTATATACATCAATATCTGCCCCCCCCCTCTTTTATAAAGCATCCTCTTCATCATACTCTACAAACTGGGCAGTCTATTTGAAAGTCTATTGATTCTCAGAGCTTGTTCTGACGAAATATCGAAAATAGAAATGACAAGGGTCATCTATGCATTGCACCTCTGCTCCGCATTGATTCAATATTGACTTCAACTATTTGCCTTCTTACATATTTTGTCGAAGGCGTATAAAAGTCTGCATTACGTTGTATGATTGAATGTTTGCGATTACGTCGACCTGCGTGTGATTGAACGTGTTTGCATGATTCGTCTGACAATAGAGTAGACTTTAAACACGGATACAGCAATATTTTTGGCTGATCGTCTACTAGGTGTGGCGCACTCAAAATAAAACGAAACTGCTTTATATATAGAGAAGGTTTTAAATTTGTACTTCAATTTGTACTCAATGCCAAGTTCTGCTTACAAGCTGTTGTCTCAATGAACTTCTCATCATGACTTCTGTTCATGTCACTGCGTTTGTTCTCCTGCTTCTCATCGACATAAGTTTTACACAAGTTACTGTCGACGTGGGGGAATTGGGTGAAATCGAGGGGAACGAGTATGAGTTTGATGGCAACACGATGAATGAGTTCCTGGGTGTTCCGTACGCAGAGCCTCCAGTGGGGGAGTTCCGATTTGCCCGTCCACGACCCAAAGCTGCTTGGATCGAAAAGTTAAACGCGACGACGTATGGCGCTGCCTGTCCACAGCAACCGGTGGAAGGTCTCGATGATCTACAGATTAGCGAAGATTGTCTCTTCTTGAACATCTTCGTACCACCTAACGCAACTGCAGATAATAAACTGCCGGTCATGTTATTCATACCAGGTCGTGGGTATCGAGCCTACTCGGGGTCAGAGTACATCGGAATGGAGATGGCCGTGAAAGGTCCTATCATCATCGTCACCATCAACTACAGGTTCCTCACATTCGGCTTCTTCAGCACCGATGATGACACTGCACCGGGTAACTATGGTCTTTGGGATCAACGGCTGGCCATAGAGTGGGTGCGGGATAACATCGGGGCTTTCAATGGTGACGGAAGTAAGATCACCATCGTTGGTCAAGGACGAGAGGGGGCTACAGGAGTTGTATCTCAGATTCTCACCCCTTTAAACAACAACGGGCTATTCCAACGGGCGATTGTTCAGAGCAGTACAGCCACCGACGTATCCTACATCAGTCCGGAGGGTCAAGCTACGAGGTTGTCCAAGATCCTTGTGGATACTCTCAACTGCAGTCAAAGATCATGGACAAAAAATCTAGCTTGTCTTCGAGAAAAATCGTGGCAAGATATAGTAGCCGTCAATTATTCTGTTCTCGGTGGTGGTTACTTCGAACCTCGAATCGATGGATATTTCTTTCCAGACTCCCTCGACAATCTTCTAGAAAGAAACCTTACACACCAATATGACCTCCTGGCAGGCGTCAACAGTGACGAAGGAGCTGTACTCTTAAATGGTTACGTAGATGTCAATGACGCATTCGAAACTGTGCAAGACGTCTGGAACTTTGCTTATTATGATACCAGGCAGAGGTACAGCAGTGATGACCAGGCGATACTTGTGATGAATGCCATCGACTATAGATACGATGGCCCTCTTCTTGAGCTTCCAGATAAGAAAAGGGCTTTATGCTTTATGTTTAGTATGTATGGTGACCGCTCCTACGTCTCTAAGACCATTAAGCTCTTACGAAACCATCAATTGAGCCCCAACACGAATACATTTATGTATTACTTTGACTACGTTGACGTGGATCAAAACTTTACATTGATCGATGATCCTATTCGAGATTTCACCATGGCAGTTCAGGGTGAGGAGCTGTTCTACCTTTGGGATACGATTTTCGGCAGACAGACGGCTTTGACTGCTACATCTGGGAGTACGTCGGAGTCACTTCGTGCAAATATGATTCAATATTGGACCAACTTCGTGAGAAATGGGTGGGTATTACAACACAGGGGGGGGGGGCAGATTCTAGTCCCCGTCTCGTACGCCTCTTTTCAGAAGTCTTTAAAAGTGCAGATGTATAAAAAAAAAAAAAAAAAAACTCCATCAGGGGTAATTTCCTTTCATCACGCATGTTTACCCAACTCTCAGGCTGGCGAATGATCGTCACTCCTATCCTGGCAGGCAGTAATTCTACCTCTAAAAGAGTTCACTTATGTCTTATATATTTACGATTGAAATCAAGTTACCCTCACCAAGCCCATGAAGTATGGTTTAGAAAGATTATATACAATCTAAAAAGTGGTACATGTTAATTCAACTTTGGAATGGACAAATTAATCAATCTCATAAAATGTTTAAAAACGGAAATATTTGGATACGTATCTGCATTCAATCTCAATGTTCAAAGTTGACAAAAGAACAACATGGAAAATACAAACACCATTCAAATCCTTCTTATTGTTTAAAGTGTTTTATAGATTTTTGTTTCTTTTGTCTTAGTTATTGATATATATATATATTATATTTGTTTTACTCTGCAGAGATCCAAATATTAGCAGCGCAAATCAAACTCAGCTCACGGACTGGCCACAGTTTAACGACAACACCGAGAGATACCTTCAGATCTCTAACACCATAGAAACGGGACAGAGTCTTTTGGAAGAGTATACCAGCTTCTGGCTAGACTACATTCCAGAACTAACGCAGAACGACGATGCAGACACATGCTCCCTAGTTGCACCAGCTTCAGATATCTTACGAGGAGCCGAAGCTGAACCTAATGTATTCGTGATAAGAGATGTTAGTAGTGGGAACTCTGAGTTGGGACAGATCCGAGGCATCCTTCGCAGAGCGGACGAGGGTGTCGGTGGTCGAGAAATCCAAAGTTTCCGCGGTATTCCGTACGCCTCACCGCCAGTCGGCGAAAGACGGTTTCAGTATTCCGAGGTCCTAACTGACTGGGGTCAAGGTGGTATCCGCAACGCTACGGAATCTTCACCAGGGTGTCCTCAGGACCTGACCCCTATTCTTGGCGCAACGGAATACAACGAGGACTGCCTCTACCTCAACATCTATGCACCTGTTGTTACAGAAACCAGTGGTCTTCCTGTCATCGTTTATATTCATTCCGGCCAATTCAGGTCTGGCAATGGTGCCGTATTTGATGGGACTACTCTCGCTTCTTATTCCGAAGCAGTGGTGGTTACTCTAAATTACCGCATAGGAGCACTGGGGTTTCTCTCGACCGGCGATGACGCCGCTCCAGGCAACTATGGCATAATGGACGTCGTCACGGCTTTGCAGTGGATCCAAACATACATCGGCAGTTTCGGCGGTGATGCTAGCAGTGTTACTGCATTTGGAATGGGATCCGGTGCCCAAATTGCTCACTGGATTTCATTGAACAAACTCAATGATAGGCTTATGCAGAAGATCATTGCATTTGGTGAATCTGTTATATCGCCCACTATTTTGACATCAGCCGAAAGAGATCCTCTTCAGTTTGCAATCCAACTGGCGAGTGCCCTCGATTGCCCTTCAGAACCAACCACCGCTCTAGTCACATGCCTGCGAACCAAATCAGCGACAGACATCCTTGGGACACCTGTTGGTGGCAGTAATCTTTTCATGGACTCGTTTTTCCCCGTATGGGATGGGACATTCCTGAAGGAATCCGCCGATAAGATACTGGCTTCAGGTGACTACGAAACCATTCCCCTACTCACAGGAGCAACTGAATGTGATAACACCGTTGTCACTGCTCAGTACTTGAATGCTTCTGTGTCCAATGGCTGCCCAGATGAACTGTTTGCAGGAGCTATCATCGATGATGCCGTTGACATTTTCTACGGAGGCAAGGACGAGTTCGCTTCCCTTTTTAAGATGTTCTACCTCAAGAGCGAACTCTCCCCAACTGTCCCGGACATCGACTGCAAGGTCGGGCAGCAGATCAGTGAGTTCCTTAGCGATCTGTGGCTCAACGTTCCACTTCTGGAGACGGGGAAATTGATGGCTAGATTTGACAGAGAGATGTACTTGTATTCCTTGACATTTCATCCTGATAACCATGTCTATCAAGTATTCTTGCCAGCCTGGGTAGAGACGTCTTTTGGTGATGATTTTCCGCATGCCTTCGGCTGGCCATACGACAGACAGAGGATCCTGCAGAGCACCAAAGGTTACAGCCCAATTGATAGGAAAGTCTGCATCAACTTCATGGAAATGATTTCGACGTTTGCAAAGACAGGGTAAGATCGTCTCTTCCTAAAGTGTGATTAAGGCTATCTTTACTTTTTGCGTTAGATATAAGATGTAATCGACATGTGTTAGATAGGGCCGAGCCATTAGTACATTAAGTTTGGCTAATAAAGTTTCAGCAAGGCAAAGATCTTGCGCCATAAGTCTGGCAAGAATTTGTTTAATTATAACAAAATGCGCCAGGTTGTCCCATCACTGAAGTAGATTTGTGGATAGAGGTTGTGAGGCGGTTTTACACACGTTTGTCTGTGGAGAGGGCTCTGCGGGCATCTGGTGTTCTTGCATCCATTTTCTACAATCAATCATAAACAAGAATGATTTTATTGTTTTATTTTCCTTTCCTATCGTTTCATTTAATTGAATTTGATTTTATAAAATATTTTTTTCCTTTCATTTATTCATTCATCTTATGAATTAATTCTTTTTTAAGGGAGGGGGGGGGGGCATGAGCCGAATTCTCGCTTGAACCGTTACTGAACAGAAAAGTTATTTGCAAAGTTTGTCTTGTGGCGATTGTTTAATTGTAAACTGATTAGAAAAGAGTAATGGTAATATTCATCTCTACTCATTCCATCGATTTGTTCTCTTGATAATAAAACATATCAACTCTTTTCAAAAGCTTTAACTTATACTTGCATATAACTTTCACTACTTAATAAAGACTTTCACTTTGTATTTCACCTTGTTCCATGCAGTGTTCCGTCAGCCAATCCTACAGATCCCGAGTCAGTATGGCAGCCGTACAACCCATTCCAATACAACGCCCTCCATCTCGATGTCTGTCCGACACAGGCACCCATTCCCCGCGCCGAGGAAAAAGACATCTTCTGGTACACCGTCATCGCTGGCTTGAAGGAGACGCTCATCGACGACGACGAAGAAGAACCGTGTACGGTTGACAGTTTCATTGGGTTGGAGCTGACGTCGGAACAAGCAGGGCGCGTGATCGGTGCTTTGGTCATCACCCTCGGCATCATCGCAGGCTTGATATTCTTTGCTATCTTTATGAAACTCTGCATGAAGATTGATCGCTCTAAAAATAAACCAGTTTAATTGGCAGAAAGTTTTTTTTCTTGCGATGCCTATCAAATCCATCATTAGATTTTGTGTTTGATTTGTTCATGTGTTTCCATTATTCACTTGGCATAGAATGAACATACACACATACCTAAATGATTCAAAGAAAGCAAAGTGAAAACAAATTTACATGTGATGAGGGGTTGTGTGTACGGACGCTTATATACCTAAAACAAGGGAAAATTTTCCTTTTGGATTTTAATAAAAAATATGCATCAAAATGTTAAAACTATCATGAATATTTGTCTTTTATATTTTTCAATGCGACTCTCAAAATGTTAACAAAATGCTGCATGTAAACTTCTTCAAATGACTGTTTGAAATTAAATTTCTAAATAGCTGTCCGGACACACGACGTGTGGGTATTTATATCATGTATTTATATCATGCATCCAAAATTTATTGGTTTTTGATTGGTTGAGAGCTCGTCACGTGACCAGAAATATTTCAACTGTTTTAAGGTTGCTCTGAAAAAGTACTATATAAGAGTATTTGGGAGTTTTATTTTATTTTTATTTTTTTTAATTTTTTAATTTTTTTTTTTTTTTAATTTTTTTTTTGGGGGGATTGATTTTTTTTCTTCAAATCTCGGTGACTTCAAAGGTACCATTTGCTTCGAAATAGTACTATTGGAGTCACCTCTTGCGCATAGTTTTAACCAGAACCTCGAATAGAAGGCATGGTATATTTGTTTTAAATCCTGCATTACAAATTTATTTACAAAAAGCAACAATTCTTTGGAGAAAAAATAAAATTTAGAATTTAAAAAATTTCAATTTTTATCATAAAATATTTAAAATATTTTGTTTTTATTAAAGGGATCGTTTAACAATGTTATTGTTAAATCTGAGATACACGGCCCTACGTGTTATTAGACGGCCCTACGTGTTATTAGTGTCTGTGATATTATGATATGTATCGATTTAAAAAATACAAGAAATAATGATGCTCCGTACAAGAAAAAAAGGTTTTACGAATTTAATCCCTTAGGGCTTTGTCAAGTAATGGTTTTATTTGACTATAAAAATATTATTCTTATCCGTCAAAATATGCGCATCCTTTCCCCATAAAATCAGACAAGGAGAAAATATTTTATTATACATGTGTATATATTATATATTTCCTTCTCAAACTTGTAATTTTCTCTTATTTTTTTTAGATTTATATGTATTTCCACATGTTATGTTATGTAAGGCCATCGCTCATACTTTGGATCGTGGACTTCTTGCAGAACCGAACGCAGCAAGTACGGGTGCAGAACACAATGAGTGAGTCCATTGTTACCAACATCGGGTCTCCTCAAGGCTAGGGTGCGTGCTCTCGGCCATCCTGTTCGTGTTGTATATACCAACGACTGCCGCTCATCTTCGGAAAACGTCTCAGTCTTGAAATACGCGGACGACACTGTTATTGTTGGGAATATTAGAGAAAGTGAGACTGAATACGAAGATTATCTAAACTGGTTTACTGAGTGGTGCAATGAAAACTTTCTGGACTTCAATACTACGAAAACAAAAGAGATGATAATTGACTTCAGGAAAGTAAGACCCGTAGATCCAAGTAGCTGCCCAATGAAAATAAACGGAAAAGAAATAGAGATAGTGAAATCATACAAATACCTTGGCACTGTAATTAATGACAAGCTGAAATGGGATGATAACTGTAGGGAGCTGTACACGAAAGGGCAGCAACGGTTATATTTCCTTCGTAAACTCAACTCATTTCACGTAGACCGCACAATAATGTACCTTTCTACAAGTCTGTGATAGAAAGTATAATAGTAAACGACTGCGTTGTGTGGTTCACAGCATGTCGAAAAGTAGACCTCTCTATGCTAAAAAGAATTGTTAAACAAGCGGAAAAAATTGTAGGGAAGAATCTTGACTTCGAAGATATATGTAGAAATAGAGTACTTGACAAAGCGAAATCAATCTACCACAACAGCCGTCACCCCTTAAATAATAATTATGTGGCCCTGAGGTCAGGAAACAGGTTAAGATCTCTAAGGTCCAGGACGAGCAGGTTTCTCAATTCATTTGTGCCTAGCTCAATCAGGCTGATGAACGAGGAGGGTTTAATTTAAGTCTGAATAATAAACTGAATTTAATCTGAATTGTGAATTTAATTTGAACTGTGAACTTAACTTAATCTGAATTATGACTAAATGTAATCACCTATTTTGAATTATAACTTGTATTTAATCTGAATTGTAAATTTAATTTAATCTGAATTATGAATTGTAGGTGATCGGAATTTGAGTTGAATTGTATTCTGAAATATGAATTGAATTGGTCTGAAAAATAAATTGTATTGAATCTGAATTGTGAATTTAATTTAGCCCGAAATATGAATTTAATTTAACTACTTAGTCTGAATTATAAATTGAATTTGATCTGAATTGTTAATTTTATATTAATCTGAATTACGAATTGAATGTGATCGGGATTTGAATGGATTTGATCTGAATTTTGAATTGAATTGATCTGAATTATAAATTGTACTTAATCTGAATTGTGAATCTATTTAACCTGAATTGTCAATTTAATTTAATCTGAATTATGAATTGTTCGTGATCGGGATCTGAATTGAATTATTTTTCTGAAATATGAATTGAATTTATCTGAATCATGAATTATATTGAATTTGAATTGTGAACTTAATTTAACCCGAATTATGAATTTAATCTAATTACTTAGTCTGAATTATAAATTGAATGTGATCTGATTTTGTTAATTTTATTTTAATCTGAATTACGAATTGAATGTGATCGGGATTTGAAATAGATTTGATCTGAATTACGAATTGAATTGGTCTGAATCTTTAATTGTATTTAATTTGAATTGCGAATTGAATTTAATCCGAACTATAAATTGAATTTAAATACTTAGTCTGAATTATGAATCGAATTTTAGTCTGCATGTTGAACTATCGCATTTGTTGTTACCTATGTTCAAGTTAAATGTTCTACTCTGTACCCATCTGTATCTTATTGATGTTTATAATTTGTAATCTTGTACTGACAAGCAAATGAAACAAATTTCCAATCATTGGACAATAAATTTGAATTTGAATGTAGAATACACTTTTATTTTATTTGTTTGAATAGTGTTTTTAATAGAATTCTGGAATGAACGAAATCAAAAATATGTATTGGTAAAGAGAATCTATAGCAAAATAGCAAAGTGCTAAATCATAGTTATCCCCTGTAACATACAGAGTTAGAGGTGTCGTGGTCGAGTGGATATGTCACCGGACTGTGGATCACAAGGTCCGCGGTTCAAGTCCCGCCGCGGCACTAATGTCCTTTGGCAAGACATTGATCTACATTTGCCACTCTCCACCCAGGTGTTAAAATGGGTACCCGGTAGGATGCGAAAGCTAATGTGGTTTGATTAGCAGGTGGCGCTTGTAAAATGGCGGCTGGCTGGAATGCTCCCCAGGGAGTGGAGAATGTGCATACCTTGTGTGCGGGTAAGCCTGAATCCGATGACCGGGGTAATAATATGTTCCGCGCCTAGAAACGTAGTATTAGGCGCATTATAAATGTGAGCTATTATTATTATTATAGTTACACAATCACCAGATATTAACCTCTTTACGAAATTTCCCTCGCTTGTCCGCTTTCGTATCTCCGATCTTAGATATAAATAAGAATATGAATTTACAGCAGTCGTGTAAAACTATAAGTTACTGGATACCAACATAACAAAAGCAAATTAACATCTGCCTAGGTTCCTATCTTACTTTTATTTATTTTTCTTTATATCCGTCCTGCATTATGTACAACATGTAGAAGAATTCTAGGTTTTTTTTATATCGAGGACTTTTTTCATCTGTTCATGAAGAAAACAAATATTTTCTTCTCAATTCGCAGATAGGCCTGTTAATTTGTTGTAACAAGTCGGAATAAAAGTGGACGAAATGACATCTTAATACAAAAAAAAATGTCCTGGATTAAATTGTTGAATAATTATAGGTTTATTGAGAATCGTTTGCATTTTGAGTTCAGTCTTTTTAAATCTAATGCATTCAAACAGTTTTTATGAAGTATTCACTCTCTGTTCTTTTGCCTCTATTTCCTGTTTTATTTGTACAATTTACTCCGTGAAATCATTGCAAATGTTATATACGGTATGTGAAATAAGATAAATAAAAAGAAACTGAAACTATATTATTGATATATTATAACTTGTGGATAAAATACCGTGAGTCACAAGTATGTATTATAAGAAGCAAGATAGAATTTGATCTATGCAATATTGGAAATGAGGAGACATGAGGGCAGCGCCATTAAACTATGTTTGTCGAATTTTATTGTTTATAAACTTTTGACCCCGACTCTTAAAGGTATTATGTCCCATTTGCAGGCCAAAAAAAGAAAAGGTTAAATTCCAACGGCATTTGAAAGATAATACTAATTTAGAACTTCCCTAAAAAAAGGGGGAGGGGGGGGGGGGCTTGAAAAAAATGTCTGTAAGTGGGAAAATAACGACTATTAGTTGTCGAATCGACGTAAGAGCTATAGAACCAGTAAGTAAAAGTCTAATTTTCAGACCATTGTACCGAACATTCGTACATTTTAAGCTGCGCAAACATGCAATCGGTTTAATTTTGGCCATTACAAGAAGTGGGTTATTGATGTAGACCAATGCTCATGTACCCTTTACAGCTCATTTTATGTATGTTATTACCAAAGAAGAAAAAAAGCCAGTCAGTCACTCAATAGTGTTTGACAGTGAAGTCTAGCAAGTAAACGGGTTTTCTTGCATAATTTGAATATTAGGACACTGCTAACTCAGCCTTCAATGGAGACGGACGTCTAGATTTCAGGGGCGGATCTAGCTTTTTGCTAAGGGGGGGGTTGACCAAAATAATGACGATGCAGAGCATCGTCCACGAGCCGCGAAGCGGCGAGCCGATTTTTTGGGGGTGTTTATTTGAACCCCGTAAGTGATGTTTTCCTGGCATCTATTAACACAATGGAGACCATAAAAAGCAGTGCATGATAACGTCTTTTTAAATCAAGTAACAGTTTAATACATAGTTATATCCAGAGTTATCATGTGTTTGGTTAAGTTACCAGATGAGTTGAATATCTTCTCACAATATTTGCACTTGAAAGGGTTTCTCTCCAGCGTGCGTTCTTTTTTCTTTCTTTTTTTCTTTCTTTTTTTCTTTTTTTTCCCTTTTTTTTTGTTTTTTTTTGTTTTGGGCCGCCCAAGGGGGGGGGGGGGTTGCA